GTTAGAATTTTAAAAAAAAGTATTTGACTTACTACAAAACACTTATATTAACTTCAAATTCTTTAACTCTCCCCTACTTAGTTGCATATTATCCATAAATTAAAAACTGTTTTACGGTTTTTGAAAAAAAGAATAGCAAACTTTGAATGAAACATTTGTAGAAAGTAACTTGCTTAGAAAATGTTTCCTATCCTAGAAAGCAGTTATTTAAAGGCCTGAAAATTATTTGCATGTATTTTGACTGTGTTATCTGTTTAATAATACAATGAGAGTCTTGTAGGTTGGGTAAACTATACGACTTTAGATATATTATGCTACAGTCTTAAATAGTTAATAAGTTGGATAAAGTGATAACATATTGAAAATTGAACCTGACTTTCTAGAGACATTTCTTCTAACGTATAACTTAAATTAATACTTTTGAGGGCTTAAATATGTAATTTGTTACAATTTCTATTGAGATTAAATAGGGTACAGTGACAAAATGAAAATTACAGGTTATGATGCTATGCTTCACTACATTCTCAAAGCAAGACAAAAACATGTTTTGGGCCAACTTATAATCAGTTTCAATGAAGGTACAAGTATCCCTGCAGTATATTAGTTGTAGTTTAGTATCGTTTATTTACTTTTTAATCCTTGCCCGAGGATATGTTTTTATTGATTTTAGAGAGAGAGGACAGGGGAGAGAGAGAGAAACATGGATCAGTTGCCTCCCATACATGCCCCAACTGGGGATCAAACGTGCAACCTGGGTATGTGCCCTGACCTGGAATCGAACCCTACAACATTCCTACCAACTGAACTACACAGGCCAAGGCTGTAGTTTTGTTTATTTTAGTTAGATAAGAATAGTATTGGGTTAAAAAATATTAGAGTTTTAATCTGTTGAACATACTTTAAATTTTTTTTTATAGCTGGGACACAAACTGACTACAAATGAAAACTTTTTTTAACGTCAGGTAAAACAATGATAAAATATTCATATGAAAACTATTTTATCTAGTACATATTTGAGTGTCCACTAAGTACAAAGTTCTGTGCTATGAACGAAGAGAGTTAAGACATGATCCCTGCTTTGAGCAAATAGTAAGTGAAATTAGCTAAGTACTGTAAATTTTCTTTTACATTCCTATGTGTGCATGAGTTGGAAAACACTGCCTGAAAAAAACTGATTTAAATATAGCACAATCATGTTTCTTAAGACTGTTCATTTCATTTTGTTAAATGTAAGATATTTAAATTACCAGGAATAGTTCAGTTTCTTAAAGTTGTGTGTTAATGTTCACTACCCTTACCACAAAGCCAAAAGTCATTATTTTTATTTATTTATTTTTAATCCTCACCTGAAGATATTTTTTCCATTGCTTTTCAGAGAGTGGAAGCAGGGGAGGGGGTGTG